ACTTGGCATGGGAAGAGGGATTCCTCCTGATCTCTGTGAGAGGAGTGCAGGGTTCTCTTGGCAGCTTTCCTTTCAGGGCAAAAGTGGGACTGCAAGTTGGTATGAGATATTCTCTCTATGCAGCACAACCCTGCCATCCTCACTCACACTCCTACTAGGACCCACAATTTTCCTCATCTTTCCCATCTTCTCAAACACATACACTTTGCCCACAAAAGGCAGAGGCACTACAGGCAAGACAATGGGAAAGGAAAGGAGAGGCCTTGCAAGCAGTGCTGCTTCATCTGAATGAAGAAAAGGCATGTGGAGATGGGTTACTAACCACAGGCTCAAGGGAGAAGACACAAAACTGCAACAATGACAGATGAATTCATAGTGTGCCTGCAGATTCCATACAAAGTCCGTATCATTATGACATAATTGATGTCCAGGTGTCAGAAAGATAAATTACTTGTGGGTAGAATTGCCTTGTTAAAGTTTAGAGCTTGAGATGCTTTAATGATCTCAGACCTAGGGGGAGGTTAACAAAGCCTGAGGGAGAAGGATTCACCACTGATAATGGGCACAAAGAATGCAGAATTTACAGGCCACTAGGACATTTGTCAGAACCCCCAAGATAAGGGAGAAACTAACAAAACCAACTCAGCAACTGTGCTGAAATCAGCTCTGACTGGGTAAAAGGTCATTTCAGCAGGAGGAGATCTGCCCCCACTGACCCAAGATACCCACAAACCAAAAGAAATGGAAAACTGGGCATGCAGACTAATTAGCATGAGAAGTGAGGGAAGTCTTAACCATAAAAGAAGGAACACTAATTAATAAAAGAATGAGATAACTTGTAGCCAATGAATGCTAATTCCTTCATTTGCTAAAATGTATAAATAGCGAAAAGTTTTCCTAATCCTAGTGCTGGCTTTGGGGATTTCCCACCCAGCACCCCTTTCTGCACAGAAGTGTCAATAAACTGACCCTCTGTATGGACTGGCCTCTTGCACAATGGGTGAAAGAACTTGTTTTGGTGACATTATAAGATATCTCATGTATTCACATTCAGAACTTCTACATCTTGTCTTACTTTGTGAATCAGAAAAGAAACCAAGGCACAGGTGAACTGTTACTATTTAGAAACAGTATATAACAAATTATGAAAGTCCAAATTGTTAATGCCAAAGTAACTGAGTAGCCTTCCTCCTGCCCAAAGAAGCACATGCACCCCTGAGAGAAAAGGATGCTGTAAATATCCTAACTTTCACTCCCAGGCTAGCATAAAGAGCTGAACACGTTACCCTGTGTCATTCTGGGCCTGTACTGCAAAGCCAGGACTTGCTAATCTTTTCATTTCAGTACAATATGTTTATTAATTACTTCAGCTTCTTGATGGAAAGATCTCTACCACAAGTATGTATTAGATACTATTATATTAAAGAAGCAATGTTTACTAAACATTTCAGGATATCTATCTATCTTGCACCACTCTGTTTAGCAGCATTAGTTGATGGCTTAAAATGTAATTTGATATGTTTTTGAAATCACAATGGATATGATATTGTTTGTGTTGGGCCAATGGTTTTCCCATCATGAGCATTAGAAGATAATCCTTCTCTATTTTTTAATTTAACATCAGTTTGTGAATTGAGGGATAAAATACCATTAAACTATTAGTGTTTGTAGAGTGCATTGAGAATACCAATGTGATTAGAAGAGACATGGTACATTACAACACTTTCATTTGTATTAATTCTGCTACAAACTTCCTAATCATTTGGATTATTTCAATTTAATTTCTCAGCATTCACAAGAAGCTAACTCTTCTTTCCAGTTCTTACCTCAAAATTTTGAGTAAGAGTTTTCTGTCCCTGAGATTACTGTCCTTGTATTTTCTGCCATCCCTCAAAGATGGTGATTTCTTGGTGTTCAAATCTAGCACCAGTACATATTTGGAAGCTTTTCCATTGTGACATATTCTTCTTGTATTTGTTTAATTACACATGGCAGTGCATGTTTGCATATGCATCCCAGCATAAAATGGACATGAGGAGGCCACAAAGTTGGTAAGAGGACTGGAGCACTTCCCCTGTGAAGTCAGGCTGAGAAAGTTGGAGCTGTTCAGCCTAGAGAAGAGAAGGTTACATGGAGATCTCATAGCAACCTTCCAGTACCTGAACAGGGCTTACAGGGAAGCCAGAGAGGCACTCTCCATCAGGAACTGTAGTGATAAGACAAAGAATAATAAGGAGAAACTGAAAGAGGGAAAACTTAGGCTAGGTATTAGGAATAAATTCCTTACTGTGACAGTGGTGAGATATTGAACAGGTCTCCCACAGAAATTGTGGATGCCCCAACCCCAACCCCCAACCTCAAGGCCAGGTTGGATGGGGCTCTGAGCACTCTGATCTAGTGGAAGATGTCAGGATTAGATGATTTTTAAGATCCTTCCAACCCAAGCCATTCTATGGTTCTATGTACACACAATAGCTGGCTTTCATCGGAAAAGTGGGTAGCATCTTATCTCATATAAGATGACATTTAACCCTGAAAGCATTTCAATTTAAAGTAAATCTAGAACTTTCTCACACAGCATGCCAGCTTCTTATTGGTAAGGCAACTGCTTCCAGCTTCCTTGGTGAAAAATGCGTATTTTATGACTGGCTTTTTGTAAATATTAAAATGAATATTATATATTATGCTATGTTAGAAAGTTGTGCTGTATTAATTTCCTTAAGTAGTGTGTTAAATATAGTTTTAGGTTATAAAATAATGTTAAAATAGAAACTATGCTATGTAATATACTTTTTTTAAAAGAGAGGAATGAGGTACTCGCACCAGACAGCAGCCACAGGACACCTGAATCTTTCAGAGAAAGAGAATTTATTGCTCTCTTATCAGGAGAAACAAACTTCTTCCCGCCTTGCTCAGCCCTGAAGATGCCGTCAGGATTATGAGGAAGAAGCTGACACTGCCCAGACAGAATCCTGTGTTTGAATGGAATTTATGCATCATGTATGAGGTGTATGAATATGCAACAGACTGTTGCTTTTAAGGGTTAATCCTCTGTTAACAGGTGCCCTTTTTCAGGCTTATTTTGCCCAGAAAGAGGAACCCAGACTGTCCGTAACTCTTTGTTTCTATTGTCTCATATTGTCCTAATCTCAATTAGTTCAATTTTTTATTACTCTAATGATATTACTATTTTTAGAACCACTTTATTACTAATAAACTTTTAAAATTCTAAAATCAAGTGATTGCCATTTTTCACATTTGGTATGCTCTGCTCCTGGCTCAAAATTCCTTTCGGGGCAGGTGGCCCTTGCTGTTCTCTCACAAATTCTCCACCTTGTACTGTGGTCTGTAGTAGTGAAAACTTCATGAAAGAAACTGGCTCTGTGGTATGCCATCCTTTAGGGAGTACAGAAGTTCCCCACATCCCAGGGTACCCTCATTGCCAAGTCCCACTGAAGCTGCTTGCAGAATTCAGGTGTGGCCGACCCCTCATGTGAGCCTGATGCGGGCATGTACATCACGCCAGCTGCCTGCCTGTGTTACAGGCAGCTCCCTGAATATCTCCTGTGCCCTGATGCCGATCCTCAGGTCAGTAATGCTGCCCACCCCAGGCACAGAGCAGTGCAAAGGGAGCTGCCACACCGAGTGCTGGCAGGGCCTGGAAGAGCTCGTGTTGTTTCTCAGTGGAAAAGGAATCAGCAGTAAATTCTGTGCTTCTTCCCCAGGGAAAGGAGGAGCAGACCTCTCATTTTATCTTTCCTCACCACAGCTGGTGTCAGCAAAGGGTCCGACCTTGGGAGCAACAAGCTGAACTCCTTAACTTGGCCAGCTAACCTTCCTGAGCATGGCAGTGCACTCAGGACCCAGCACAGATATTTATCCTCCCAGCACAGCTATTTCTGTGCATGCCACTGAAAAAGCAGGCATCTTATGATTACCTTCAAGATGAAATTAAAACTCTATATGTAAACTCTTTGTAAAGAGTTTACATATGTGTTTGTAAACTAGATGTAAACCGTGAAATCTGAAAATGGCCAGAAGTACATTCCTAGTTTTCTCTTTTTTTTACTGTTATATGATAAAATCTGGAAAGACAAGTGATAGCTGTGTCAGTTTTGTTTATTTCAACAAAGCAAAGGTCAAACGCATTGAAATTTTTACAGCTTCCATGTAGTAGTAATTGTTAGATGGCAGAACCACAGAATATCAAAGTCTATTTTTTTAAATCTTACCATATGGGACATGATATCAGGAACGAAGTGACTTTGTTTTTATTAATAAAAATTCATTTTATTACTAAGAGAGCATCATGTTATTTCCGCAGGAATCTCTCTCCCTTCAAGTCATGGCATTAAGCTGTTCAACGCCTTGTTATCCGTGGAATTAAAATTCAGAACATGACACGAATGCACGAACAGCAAACTCACACTAAAACCCTGCTTTGGCTGTCACTATCCTATTCAAAAAACGAGAATCAAAGCACCAAACATTTTGGCATTATTTCTGGGAGCGGGGTGGCTGCGGCTGTCAGGACAAAGATGTTTTCTTCTGGATCACGTTTGTTTCCTTAGCCAGTCCACGTGAGACCGGGACACAGATGGCCAAGCTGGGACGAGATTCCTCCAGCGGGAGCTGCAGGAACCATTGCTCGGGGCAGAGGCAGCCCCTCCGCCCCTCGGGCAGGGCAGCCCGGTGCACGGCAGGGTGTCCAGGGGCACGGCCAGACCCGGGAGCTCCGGGCGCGCCCTTCCCGGACCGGGATGGCAGCTCCCGGGAAGGAGCTCCGGCCCCGCCCCCCCGGGCCGCACGGCCCCGCCCCCAGCCCCGCCCCCGGGGCACGCCCCAGAGAGGGCGTGTGCTCCCGGCAAAGCCACGCCCCCCAGTGCCGCGCCCCTCGGGCCGCCGCGCACGCGCCCTCCACGTGTCGCTGCCGAGCCCCTCCCCACTCTTTGTTTACCCCGCGTGGGGCCGCGCGCCGGCCGATGGCGTCAGCGCGCCCGGCGCCGCCCCCAGGCCGCGTCCGCTCCGGGAGCCGCCCGCGCCCCTCGGTGTGCCCGGCCCGCCCCGGTGCCGAGCGCCGGCACGGCGCTGTTCGCTGCCCGGCTGCCGGCGGGCGCATGTTCCCGGGCGGGGTCGGCGCGCCGGCGGTGAGCGCGGGCGAGCATGGCCGCGCCCGGGTCGGAGAAGAGCAGCAAGAAGAAGACGGAGAAGAAGCTCGCCGCCCGCGAGGAGGCGAAGCTGCTCGCCTCCTTCATGGGCGTCATGAACGCCATGCGCAAGCAGGTACGGGAGGCGCCGGCCGGGGCCGGCAGCCCGCGGGGTCCGTGCTGCCCTGAGGGCCGGTCCCGAGGGTTTCCCGTCCCTTGGGCCCGACTGCGGGGGAGCCCAGCGGAGCCGGCACCGCCGGTGCCCCGGGCCTCCGGAGCCGCACGGCGAGCGTGCCGAGCTCCGGTTTGTGTGCGCCGGCCCCGTGTGGGTGCTGCCGGCAGAAGACGCCGTGGATCTGTTTTTGCTTGCGGGTGGTCGGGCAGGATGAGACTGTGGTTGATGGATGGCCCAGTGTCTCCAGCTCTGGAGCGTTCACGGAGCCCGTTTCGGACCGAACCCCGAGGGCAGTGGGAAGGCGCTGCTGCTGGATTTTTGACCAGAAACTCTTCTCTGAACAAATTGACTGTGTACCCTGTGAGCAGTGAAACTGCAGCGGGAGGAGAGGGAAGAGTAGGACCATGGTTTGGTTTCACGGATGGCATTTTTGTCTCGGATACCCCTGGCCATCGCACTAGGAAGCCAGTGGCAGTGTAGGAGTTTGGTGGCTTCATCCGGCCTCAAATTGTGAAACTCTTGCCTGATCCGCTTCCATGGTCAATATTTTAATAGTATTAAAGGTGACGCCTCTGTTTACCAATAGAGCAAGAGTGGTAACCAAAATCACAATCATGCAAGTGCATTTCAGTTGAGCTGTCCAAACTGAAATAAATACTAATTTTCAATTATTTTTTTATAAAAGACATTGAACTAATTGTATAAGAGCAGAAGGATGATACATGTGACTCCTTGCATATGAAGAAATCTTTCTTCTCAGAGAAGGATCTAGATTGGTTGTAAAACTTTGTTTAAAAACAGTGATGTGCAGCCAGAGTTAAAGCTGACTCTAAACCCAGACCATGTAGGGGTTTCACACTTGGCACTGTCATGTGTTGGATCTTCTAGGGTTTAGTTGCTTGTCCTCCAGTGTTAGTCTTGTCAGGGGCTCAGCCCATCTTTTAATGCTGTCTGCACCAGCAGTCTGGGTCCTGACCTCACAAGTATTGGTGTTGGTTCTGCTTTTCTCTGGCACTTCAGCCCTGTTCTTCTCTCAGTAATAGACAGTCAGTTATGTTGTCTACATAAACCATTTCATGCAACTGAGCTCTTATGTATGAAAAACTATTTTTTTTTCAATGACTTCAGGTATTAAAGACTTAAGGCCTGTGATCTATGTTTTTTATGTAGGCTTTGTTTCTGATCTGAAAGTGTAAACATATTTCAAGGTGTGGCTGAATTCATAACTTGGTTCCTCAGTGTTTAGTTCATACCTCTGCCATTGTTTAAAAGGACATGCCAGATGCTCTTATGATTTGTGAGTAGATAAAGGAAATATTGCCCTCCTGTGGATATATGTGCAGTCCCCACCACAGAATTTCACAGTGCTTCACCATGTCCCTGTTCCAGTGTGTGGTGCCACATTGTTCTGTGTACGTGCCTCATCTTGCAGTGCGGTGGAGTGCCAGCTCTCATGTAGCTATGAGCCACTCCAGACAAGGAGTGAGAGGGTCAGGATTAAGTGCTGTGAAGTTTGTGTGTACTTCTGATTCAGATTCCAGAATCTGTTATGCTCAGGGAGTAGCAGCTCTGAGTTTTGCCTGCAGACTTCTCATCTGACCTCAGATGAGCTTTACGTATCCCACACAGTGCTGACTGGTCCAGAAGTTTTTGCAGATTTCATGAAACTCATGCTTCTTTTATGAGTTGTTTGGAAGAGGAGCTCAAGTATTGCTGAGGGAGTAATACTTGAGGTGCGGTTATACAGGATAAATTTGGGAGTCAGCAGTAGCCAGAGGAAAACACACTAGTTTCAGCTCATTAGTTGTGCTAAAGTTGCAAGAGGATTTGTAGTCAGTTCTTTCCTCTTGTATTTTGGCAAGTCAAGAGCTATGCTGTAGTTACAAAACCTGAATATGAGTTAAAATATCCTGTGATGGAAGTGTCAAGGTGCACATGCAGCTCTAGATATTTAGCTCCTTAGTTAATCCTGTAGGAATCTGGGCCAATGGGAACTTACAGCTCATTTTAAGGAGGCTGCTTTTGGTGTGAGCTGGGATGAAGAGGAATCCTCCATCAGTAAGGGAGTTCAGAGTAAACTGTGGGCATACCTGCACTCAGTACAGGTGAGATGTTGGGGCCAGGTGCGTTTAGTGCTTGGAGGACTTGATGCTTGTCTCCAGCATTGATGACCCACATCTCTGTGGGTTTCCCAGAGCTATTGGACAGCGTGTGCAGAAATCATTTGTTGCAACATTGGAGCTCAATGGAGGTCAGCCAAGAATGAAGTCATTGGGAATGAAGCTGGGATAGAGCTGCAAGGTGTTGCTGAACCTGTTATTTAGAAGGTGAAGTGCCTTGCAGAAGCTGACGCTGGGATGTGTCCTTTGGTTAACACCAGTCACCTGTTGCATCATGGAGGTGACCCTGTGACAACAGTGGGTCCTTCTGGAAAGAAGTGCAGCAATCCTCAGAAGAGCAGTAGTTGAAATGGAACCATCACACCCAGAAACCTCCCAGGGAAAGAAGTTAAAATGGTGCTCTGTTTGGGTTGGCAAATGCACCAGAGCAGCCTCAGAGCATCTGAGGTGTTTCAAATGCTGAGCTCAGGCATTTAAAATGTCTTAGAAATGCCGTGTGGAGCTCAAGCAACAGCTGCAAGTCTTGGCAAAGCTTGGCCACAGGATTTTATGGTATCTTGTACTGCTAGTTTCCAATGCTTGTTTTGAACCAGAAGTGTTAGAAATTTCAGCTTTTAAAGGATTTCCTCTGAAGCTTTTCTAGAATGGTCTCTTTTTTTATTGTTGTTTCAATCATAAATGGTTTAAAACTACAAAGGAAGCTATGTGTCACCCCCATCTAACTTCCATTTCGATAATATTTTTGAAAGTATTGTTTATATTTTGTCCAGTATGTGCTTTTGAATGTCCTGTAAAAAAAAAAAACAGGCATGTTTAAAGGAATTGTAAATGTGGGTTATCAGCCCTAGATAATATTGTCTCCATGTGGAAAACTTGCAGTTCTAAGCAAGTATATATTTCCCACAGTGGAAATATTCTTTCCTGGGGCTGGCCTTGAGATGGGTGTATGTAGATGTTTTTGAGAGCAGTTCCATGAACTTAAGGTAATAGTCCAAAATTATTTCCTACTTTTGAGGAAGCAGTGCTGCTCAGTTTTTCTTTTTTAGTAGATAGTTATAATTAACTGTTGTATGATATGCATTTATTACACTCAATATGTTCTTAGAAGAGATAGCATTTCAGAATCTGTTAAAATCATGAGTTTTTACCCCAGTCTCCCCCGACAGCTTTTATAAGTTCTGTTGCTTTCCCTTCTCTTTCTGGAGCATGACAGGGGAGAAACTAGCTGCCTACAGATAAACAGCAACAAATGAGAAACAACTAAGGTTTTGTTTGTTTGCTCATGAGGTATGACCAGTCAAACCCTTCCACAGAAATGGTATTTTTGGATAAATTTTCTTTAAAATGCTCCATTGAGTGCTTTAAACTCATTCATCACTTTGACTCCTGTTGGGAAATAGGATGGCAGTCTGCAGATATGAGGTTCTTGTGAATTGTTTTGAAAATCAGCGGCAGAGTAGAGGAGAACCACTGGTAGATGAAAGCAGTGCAATATAAATGCAGCCCCTACCAGATGCTGCAGAGCTACATTATTGTAGGCTGATGTAAAAGCTACAGGAAATACTTTGATCAGAGTTCATATTATTTGTGACCATCCTGTACAAATTCATGGGTAAACTCATGTTTGCTAGTTCTCCAGGCTACTGAACTTTGGCTTCCAGAAAATCTTTTTATCACATAATGCTCTTGAGTTGTGTGTGTTACAAAAGGTAATGAATTTCCATAAGCTGTTTTTAAAGAAATATTGTTGAAATATTTTCAAAAATGCTGATTTTTGTCTTTTTTTCCCCTCTGATTCAGAAAACTCTTTGTGATGTCATTCTTATGGTTCAAGAAAGAAAGATTCCAGCTCACCGTGTTGTGCTTGCTTCAGCCAGTCATTTTTTTAACTTGATGTTTACTAGTAAGTCTTTTGAAAATTGATTAATTTTAAACTTTCATGATGATATCCTGTTATATTTGTGTCTGTCAACCTGTTTATCTTATGGAAGTAATTAATTTGAGGGATAAGTGTAAGTGAAGATATCTCATTTTGTCTCCTTCCATTCATCTCTGTTCACCCCTCCCCTCATTTTTCCTTCAACTCTTTTGATCAAGTCAAGTGTTACTTCATATACAAGCTCTCTTAATTAATAACTGGGACCTATACACTGTGTTAGTTTATCTCCCTTCCTTAACCTGAAAATTGGGAAATTTTTTGTCCCATTACAGAATTTGTCTGCCATCAGGCATTTCTGCATATAAATTGGGATATCAGAGATTAGAGACATGGTTTAGTGGCTGGAGTGGATGATCTTAGAGATCTTTTCCAGCTTTCATGTGATTACCTTAACTCAGTGATTCTGTAATTCTTTCATTTATGCTCTCTTTAAAACTTCAGTCATGTAGTATCTTATCTTTTCTATGCTTTACCCATGAATTGTAAAATTACTCTAAAATCAAAGTTGAGTGGGAGTAAAATAACCATTCATTCTCATGCTCCTTGAATGGAATTGCCCATCTGTGGGCAAACCTAGTGCTGTGTCTGGATGTGGGGAGCTTGGAGCTGTCTCCATTGTTATCAGCTTGAATGTGGAAATGGCTTTTGACAGTGGTAATGCTAACATGGCAGTCTGACTGCAGTCAACAATGTCTAGGACTTTTCTACTTAACACAGTTTATCATAATTTAGATAATACAAGGATGTACTCACACCAGTTATCTTGTTTGTTCCACTGCCTCCTTTCCTGACTTGCATTAGCAATCCTGGGAAAACAGCAATCAACTCTGAGCAGTTTTTGGGAGGTTACCACTTTGAATAATTGCTTTATTTTCTACTGTTTGCAAAACATACAATAACTAGAGTGAGTTCTTGATTAAAAGCTTGTCTTTTAATCTGTTTGCAGCAAATATGATTGAATCAAAGTCCTTTGAAGTGGAGCTAAAAGATGCAGAGCCTGACATTATTGAACAGCTCGTGGAGTTCGCTTATACTGCAAGGTAGTTTTGTTATTTAAAGCTCACGCTTTTCTAGGAAGCCTGCCAATTTTAAATGATAAAAACTTTATATCATGTTTTTGTAATTCATCAGTTTTGTTACCATTGAAATTCTTTCCTTTGTTTAAAGCCTGATGTGACTAGACCTTCTATCCTTATTCCCTCTTCCTTTTTCTTTAACCAGTAGGAAGCTCTACAGACTAAAGGAAATGGTATTTGTCTCCAGAAAGCAATTCAAAGCACTTCAAGCTTTTGACTTCAGTGCTGGAGTCAAATGATGTTTCCCATGGTTCTGTAATTCAGGTCCTTATTGATGTCAGCAGGGTCTCTCTTTGTGGCCCTAGTAGCTATGGCACAGAACCATTTCCAGGAAGGTATACCTTCATCTCAAAACAGGCAGGGTGGATAACTCCTCTGTGAAAGTGTTTTCCCCCTGTCTCAGCTTGCCCATGTATTTGGGGGGTTTTTGTGGGTCTTTTTTCTCTTCCAGCCCCTCCCCCCACCCAAGCAGAGCTCTTGCAGATGGCTAGGATTGAAAACAGTACTTAATCAGCTTTAATCCAGCCTATGGATGGCAGGCCTTTCATCTAATGGGGTTAACTCTCATTAGGGAGGCTTTCTCCTTTCTTTTGAGAGCAATCTTCTTGTATAGGCCATCAGTGGTAAGAGACAGTCTGTGTCAACAGCCCACCCCAGCCACGTGTTTGCCTGCCCTGATAGCCAAGCCCTAGATACACTGTGGCTTCCATAAGTTCTCCTGAAGCACTGCCAAACTGGTGGTTCTGCTTATGCACTTTGGGCAAATCAGACACACCAGTCCTGACAGAGTTTAAACAGATTTTGCTGATACCTGTTTGGAAGTTGAAAATGGTCATTAAAAAGGTTCTGGATTTGGGTTTTTTTAACCTTTTGTCAAAGTGGTTAATCACACAATTCATAGCAATAGTATAGGACTGCAGAGGACCTGTGTTAAAGTCTTATTCTTCAGATCCCAGGACTGATTATTCTTTGCCCTGCCTGGGTGAAGTAGAGCAAACAAAAGCAGTTTGGAAAGATCATGAAGGATGTGTCCTTAGACTGTATGTGAAAGATTCTTGAGTAAATAGGAGAGAAATAATTTTGCCATTTATGTGAATTTGTGTAAGTTTTTTATTGCCGCAACTTAGGTGATTTCAGTGATGCTAATTTTACACCTTCTGTTTTGCAGAATCTCAGTTAACAGCAATAATGTCCAGTCTTTACTAGATGCAGCAAACCAGTATCAGATTGAGCCTGTGAAAAAAATGTGTGTGGACTTTTTAAAAGAACAAGTTGATGCTTCCAATTGTCTTGGTAAGAGAGATAGACTTAAATTTGCTGTATATTTTCTAACTTTGCTGTATTGTCTGTCTGTGGATAGCCATAATATTTGGCTAAATCCAGGCATGTAGAAATAATTTTTCTCTGAATCTGAACTGTTGCCCCTTGCCACAGGGTCTGCTTACTGTGCAAGGTAAGCCCCAGCCTGGCAGGATGCTGGGGCTTCTTGTTTGTTAGAGAACTGCATGTGTTCAGTGAGGTGGAGCTTTCAGTTGTTATTGTACTTGCAAACAGAATTTTATATATTTGTAACTTCTCCAAAACTAGCATATCTTTTACAAGTATAAACAGAGGAAGTTTAGGCTACTTTTGGTTTTATTCACTTTTTATTTTGACTGAAAACAATGAATGTTATCTGGGCAGGTTTAATACCATGTTCTGTAGCTCTAATGTGGACTCAGTGTTACAGAAAATGTAAACAACAAATAGAACTAAATACTTCTACATGCTTAAGATTTGGTACACTTTATATAATCAGAAATTTAGGAGAAACTTTTTTTGTGTTTTTTATTGTCATTGTTAGGTACTCTCCTAGTAACATCTCAATCATATTACAGATGTTTATAGCAGCAATAGAAATGTTTTGCAAAGTATATCTGACTTACAGTGACTCAGCTGGCACTTCAGTGCAGCACAGCTGTGGCTCTGAAATAACTGCTGGAAGAAAGGCATTACCTAAGTAAAATACCACTTGGCTTTGAGGCATATTTCTGCCCTGTGGCTTCTGTTAGGTGAAAAAAATTAATTATGGTCTCTAACACTTGCATACTTTGTTGCTAATTTATTGCAAAAAGATTGAATCAATTTTTCCTTATGGCATTGTTTTTAAATTGGAACATGTTTTGTGCAGACTCATAAGCAAGTACACAGTGCATTTTTTAAAAAAAGTATTTGAAAGAAACCATGCCTTAATGCGAATCTTGAAATTTTGTCATATAGGTGGATTTTATCCTTCTAGTTCGCATTTTACTACTCTGAGCAGCTCAGACTAATTGCAACCCATATGTTAGTGAGTTGCTCCTACCCCACTTGCCATTTCCTCTGTGAGAAGGAAGACCTGTGGCATGATGAGAAGTTGCTGCTGAAAAGCTCTGTGCTTACATGGTTTTTAATGGCAAAATTGACAGTGGTGCTTCTCACCTGCTATTGCTGTTTAAACCTTTATGCCAACCTTCTGTCCTTCTAGCAACATCAGCTTGACTTTGTGTTAGTCTGCAGCTGACTGTGCTACATGTACAGAAAAATCCCAGTTCACCATGGCTCTTGAAGGAAACTGGGCTTGGTTGGTGACTGATGGTGCATGAGCAGGTCAGGAGAGGTTGTAAAACATGGATCCAGTTTTTCAAGCTGTTCTGGTTAGACATGGTTAGAGTGGCTTGGCTCAGACTTGGTTAAGGTGCTGTTGTCTGCTTTGTATTTGGGAAAGAAACAGTGAGGAAATAGTGCTGGAGAGACAGTTAATACAGCAAGTGTTACAGGTCTGACTCTCCAGTCAGTTCAGTAGGGATAGGGATCAGCAGCTTGCCCCTGTCTTAGTTTGCCTTGAATTGCAGATGAGTTATGATAGCATGTGTTTTAATGGGGGTAAAAAAGGCATGGTAATAAATATTAAACTGGAATTTGAAGTATCACTGAAATTACAGTAATTGTATTCTATTTTCATATATTAAAGGTAATTGCAGTTCAAGTTTAAAAGGGTTTTTTTAATTTTCCTTCATAGGCATAAGTGTGCTAGCAGAATGCCTAGACTGCCCAGAGCTGAAAGCCACTGCAGATGACTTCATTCATCAGCATTTCACTGAGGTTTACAAGACAGATGAGTTTCTCCAGCTTGATGTTAAACGTGTGACACATCTCCTGAACCAAGATACATTGACAGTGAGGGCAGAAGACCAGGTGAGATCCCTGTTTCATAGCAGCTAAAAGCATTGAGCTTAACTATCTTTTTTTAATCAAGAACTGGCTTCAGGTATTCAAGTATCTCACTTACTGATGTTCTTAGAGGATATGATGCACATAGTGCTTGCTAAATTGCGGAGTAAAAGGTGCATCCTAACTTGGTCAAAACCAAATATTAATAAATATTCACATTTCAAGTGTAGTTTATAGATGTGTTGTTTCAGCAAAGTTGGAAGAAAGAAGTCAGAGAGGGAATAAACAGTTCCCTTTGTCAAGATAGGTGTAGGGCTGCTGATTCAATAGTACATGAGCTAAATTGTTTGGTTTGTAGTGGTTGCTTCTAGATTGGGATTTATGTGCTTTTGGTGAACCAAAGTGGACCACTTCAAAGTGGTGAGCAAACTGCACCTTAATGGATGCACATTTCTACCTGAGTATGGCCTAGCCTGTTCCAGAGAGGAGTTTTGTGATGGAAACATTTATATGTACACAAGCCTGGGAAACTGGGGGGCTTGGAAGTAAGATGAGTTAGACACTGAAAGCTACATGCATTGGTAGTGGTGGATTGCTGGAAAACCATTATTTAGGGACTGGACATAAAGTTTAGGTGGCTGAAAGGAGCCTGGAGTTCACTCAATTAAAATCTGTAACCTGTAGTAGAAATCACATCCACAGCCATCCCATTTGGAATGCTTGATTCAGCTTAGAGCACAGCCCTGAATGATTATTTTCCATGATTTTGTTCTCCCTACTGCAGGAAAATAGGAAGCATATAGGTATCTACACTGCAGCCCAGACAGATGGTTGTAGGCTGTTGTAGCAGTTGAGTGGTATTTGTAGCTGCTGGGCACTTGTAGCTTCTTAGTCAAAGCTGTTGAAAACAAACTGAATCTTACCTTTGTAGCTCTACTGTTCAGGTGCTGGAATTAAGTAATTTAAGTTTGTGTGGGTATGGCACCATGAGTTGACTCATACCTTTGAAGTGCAGCAGAGGGATGTTATAGTTGAGATGGTGTGGATATTCTGCTGACTGTGAAATTTCCATTGACATTGACCTCCAACAGGGAGAAGAATTGATTGGAAGCATTAAGGTTTAGTTTTCTGTCTTCATCACTGTATGGTGATGTAACTTATGAAGATAGGAATTAGTATGTCAGGCAATAGAATATGGTAGTTGGTTTGTTACAGGTATAAATATGAATAGTGTCACAGTTCAGCATTCTTGCTGAGTGCTGGGAAAAGTTCAGATCATGGGGTAACATTCTCAGAGCTGGAAGTGTTGTTTGGCTTGCAGCCAAAATGGCACTTATGATTTACATTCTTGAAGTTCCATTGGTAGGGTAGGAGGGCGTGCTTTAACCTGGCAGCAGTGGTAGAAATGTTATGTATTCAGCATGGCATCATTAAAATTCCTTTAGGAAACTGGAAGTGTGCAGTAGGAAACTACAAAAGTTTGACAGTTGCACTACAGGAGTCATATTTCTCAGGAGTACTGCTAGAAAGTTGACATTATACTCCAACTTTTCTTTTGGTGTGAAGCATAGTTACATTTAGCAAAAAGGGAAGGTAGCATTAAGTACTGCCTGTCTTACACAATGTTCCTGTTCAAGTCATTCTGTTGAATTTCCTTAGCTGATGGAATTGAGCCTTTAATTGTTTTCTTTGCTCTCCCACATTCCCTGGTAATTTTGCAGAGTTACAGCTGGGCTGGGCTGGTAGTCCTGAATAATTCTTCCATGCAATGTCTTTCCATGTCGTATCTCAGTCACTCAGCATTAATTGCTGTGACCAGTTTCAGCTACAGGTGTAGGCACTGCCTGTGCTATTGCTTACAGTGAGGTTGTCCTGCCACTTCAGAGTCAGTGTTACTGAGTAAGCTTGCTGTGTCTGAGAGCAGCATGGAACTATCAGAATATACATGTAGTCCTGGAGTATTTTTTTTTTTCTTCCAGACCCAGTGTCCAATTATAAATAGAGCAGATTTCTTGATTATCTTCCCTGTTCTACCTTCTCTGACCCCTAAAAATACCCATTATCTTTTCCTGTGAGAAGGAGAAAAAGAGGAGATGCTCTGGTAAATTTACAGTAGTTCGCAGATAAAAACCTTGATTTAAGTGGTCCCCTAAGACACAACAATAGCAATGTATTTGGATACCCAACAGGATGATTTATTCAGAGAACCAGTTTATCACCTCAGGAGACTGTATCAAGTAGAAGTTATTTCATTTCTGTGAAAGCATTACTGATATTATGGCACAGAACTTGAAGAGGATTAGATTTAACCTGGTACAGGATTTACCCACATAAATGTGAATTGCAGATTCATGTTTTCCATTTGGAGGGAAAAAAGTTAAACAGCAGAAATAGTAGATTTTTAAAGTTTGTAGATGAGATTAATTCAGTGCTTGTGCATTTGTTTTACTTGTCTGAGCATTGTCTTTTTTGGGCTTGGTTGATTTTTGTTGTAGGGTATTTTTTGGGTTTTTTTCGAAAGATAGCAATGGGATCCCCAGATAATGAAATGCTAGTATAGGTTAACCTCCAGCAGGTATTAGAATCAATTCATAGCACTAAAGTTCTGTTACTTGTCATGCTTTATGGTGATGTACCTTATCTCTTTCTCTGCTTGTCTCTTGTTGAAGGTTTATGATGCAGCAGTCAGATGGCTGAAGTATGACGAGCCGAATCGCCAGCCCTACATGGTTGATATTCTTGCTAAAGTCCGATTTCCTCTAATATCAAAGAACTTCTTAAGTAAAACTGTTCAGGCTGAACCACTTATTCAGGATAACCCAGAATGCCTTAAAATGGTGATCAGTAAGTTGACCTCTAGCTGAAATCTTTGATGCTCTCTATATAATTTTAAAAATGCTTTGAAAATTTTTGAAAATTGTTTGCTTTAAGATGCTCTAACATTTTCACATTAAATCCATCTGTATTCCCTCTAGGATGCTGTGTTTAGTTGAAGTTGGATTAGCAGATTATTATGTAAATAAAACTCATCTTATATAACAGTGTGACTTTCATTTGTTTTCTCCTAGCAAATGGCATGAACTCCATGAGAAGTAATGGAATGGGGATTTTGTCAGTGACTCCTTAGGGTAACTGAAAGTTAGTCTGCCTTTTGACAGGCTTGTAACTTCAATATTTTCCATGTTTGTGTGTGCATTAATAAAAGAAATATGTGAACATTTTGAATATTTTAAAGCTTTCCTTAGCAAATTAGAATTTTAGGTGTATATTTTACTGTTTTTATCTATTAAATACTGACTGTTGATCCTACAATGATTGATCCTACATTTGCATTCTCAGGGTGCAGATGAAATAGGAAACAAGCTTCCCTTTTGTTTTTAGGTACCATTTGTAAAATTTTATCATGTAAGAAAGAAAAGCAATTTCAGTAGCAGTTAACCAATTGGCTTCAATTTAGTGTAGATCTAAAAATCAGTACACAATTGTTTTCCTTCACTCAATGAACAGGATTTGAATTAACCTGTATGTTGGTAAGTATCTGCTGATATTTGACATCAGAGTCACACTTCTCGTGTGACGCCAAGTTGGGTACATTGTATAGGAAAGGATTTTTGTCTTCTGGTTTTAGTGGCTTGTAATGTCACCGGTATTTTTGCACTCTAAGAATGCTTTCTTTTGGGCTTGCTTCCTTTTGACTGTTTCAATATAATAATCTTAATTGCTTGTTAATATTGGATAAATGAACTGATGAATCCATTGGTACATAACATGAGTCTGTATCTGTCCTGTTTTCACATGGAGCAGCCAGTTTGGAATAGGGTGTAAATCTGGATATATGCTCCCACCCTCTCATGCTGCCGTGCATTCTTCCATTTTGAATCAAAGCTGCATAGGTGTAATGTAGACACTTGATTTTCCCCATTTCCTTCCCTTCCATCTCTCCCCCATGCCTGCCTCTGAAAGCTCCCAATCCATGTGTGAGCTGCACTGGCTCTGCAGCTGTTGCTGTCTTCCTTGCAGGTGGGATGCGGTACCACCTCCTTTCCCCAGAAGACAGAGAAGAGTTGGTGGAAGGCACGCGGCCGAGAAGAAAAAAGCACGATTATCGCATTGCTTTGTTTGGAGGCTCTCAGCCCCAGTCCTGCAGATATTTTAACCCCAAGGTAATCGTTACCTCAGAATGCATTAAGATTCACTGCTTGTAATCTTACCTGTTTTCTTTGCTGGTGATATTAACTAAGACATAATGATCTACGAAATGGTCTTAGGAAGGAAGTATTCCCTCCCTCCTGGGTATACAGTTGGAAGAATATGGTTAATTAAGTATTTTTAAGTCTATGTACCTAGATGTAATACTTTGTTTTGAATAGATTGATTGTGTTTGTTTCTTAGCAATATTAGATATGGAGAGCTGATCAATCTGTCTGAGTTGAGCATTGACTGGTATGTGTATTTCTCAGCTGCAAATAAACAGAAGGTCACTAAAGCATCACGTAATTGGTTAGGAATATATGAAAGTCTGTATGCATGTGCATGCATTTAGGTGTTTAGAGATTACTCAAAGCAGGTTTTTTAGCACATAATGATTTTACTGGCTTGTATGTTAGTGTAGAACCCAGTTTTTATTGGGGTTTTTTAGTGCATTTATTATATATATGCAACCACTTCTAAATCCCAATGGTTCACAGTTTTGTTTGCTCTTAAGGGTATATAAGGAGAAGAATGGAGAGCCAAGTATTGCATAAGTGGCAGACAGTTAGTTTTTACAACAAAAAAGCTTAGAGATGATAAATTTAGAGCAAGCAAGTTCTGCCTGAAATTTGTTCCCATGTTTCTTGAATAAAATCAAGTCACAGGAACGGTGTACATTTCAGCTATGCAGATTAAAGGATCTAAAAACATCAACTGCATGCAGAAGGATTACCCATACCCTGTTTTACCAGGCAAGCACATACAGTAATACAGAACAAATTTGCCACATAAACATCAGGGCTCTCTTAAGTTATGAGATCCCATGCATGTAGTAGTATTTTGTTGAAGAAATTCTGGTTCTAACTCAGCATATTAAATGCTTGTTAAAATTTCAAGCAGTTTTGTGTGCTGTGTGAACTTCATAGTCAATGTGAGCCCTGTCAAATCTAATTTTGAATGAATGAGCCTTTGGGATGTGTTTTGAACTTTTCTTTCACATTCCTTTTGTAAGATAAAATTCAAGCCACCTTCTCTGAGTACCACTTAAGTCTGGGGGTAAAATCCCCAAACCCACCAGCTTTGCTGACTTAGCTTGAGAGACACTTAATATGTATTCATTGAGAATTCAAAATTCTTAGCTAATGACTGCCTTTTGCCTTTATACACATACTCAAGATAAGCAGCACTTCAGCTGGGGGTAAGGAGGTGAGGGGTACAGAGCAGATAATTCTCTCCTTTCCAAAATCTAAGTTTGGCAAGCCTTTGATCAGGGCATTTGTAACTTTTCAAGCAGTTGCATGCTTTTGGCAAAGAAATCCGTTTTGTAGGTAAAGAGTAGTGTATTTGAAAGTCTACATAAAACATAGGATAAAAGATCTTTACCTTTCATAGACTGCTTGTCCAGGTATAACACCAAAAAATAACTGAATTTGGAAGAAATTTTGAAGAATTGCCTCTTAATCAAAACTTACAGCCTTGCATGTGGGCTAAGGAGTGGGGGAAGAATGGGGCAGGGAAGGAAAATTTAAAAAGTGGGTAATTTGAGACCTTTATTCTAACAAGCATGTGTTCCTTTAATGTTTTCCTAGTGCTTATATGCTTCCTTGGATACTCTTAGCTAGCCTGTCGTGTCTTGTTGAACAGCTTTTACTTCATTTCCAACTCTTAAGCTATTTAAAGGTTCTTTTCTGGATGTTTTGCTCTAATATTTGATTTTAATCTTTAAACTCTGACAATAGCTTATTAAATGCAACAAACCAAGGATCCAGAACTGCTGCTGAATTACCATTTAACTCACTTTAATTGGTCTCATCAAAGGATGATGGGAGGGTCACAGAACAGAGAATTAAGCTTGTGTGTGTACTTTTGCAAGGTTAGGTCCTTAGGAAAAATCGGAATTTTGCTTGTCTGTTGAACTGGTTGAATAGTGACCCAGTCCCTCACTTCTGATATTAATCAAAATCAGAAATTTAATTGTTATATGTCACATAAACAATTCAAAACTGAGGTTATATCTTTCCTGAAAATATTTTCTTGGTTGTAGTATGAGTTTCCATAGCTGTTATATGATAAAACAAGTGCAAAAGTTTTAATTTTCATTGATTCCTTTGCACACAAAATTAGTCTCTAATGCTGATAGTGATTTCCTTGTTATTGGAAGGGTTCTTTAAATAAGACTGGATGATTGGATACTGTGTTTTTTATTTGTTGAGAATGTTAGCAGTATTATTTTAAGACTATATTTGCTCTCTTTGTTGCACTGTGACTGGTATTTCTATTGATACAAGTTCATCATCAAGAAAGCAAAATGATGCAATGGGATAGATGCAGACGAGCATAACACTCGTGGAGCAGTCTGGCACTAATTTGAGTAGACATACATGATTTCAGAGTACTACTAGAAATCCTAGATGTTCTATTAACAGTTGTGGGAAGCATTTTCTTGTTGAATTTTTCACAGAATTTAAAAAAACAAAATCCCTATATTGGGAATAAAATACTTATTGTTTTATTTTATGAATTCTCAGTACAGAATTTATATATGATTGAGATTTTGTGTCAGCAATATGCTTATTCTTTTGAAATTACTATCTCTAGTGGCCAGAAATGGTTGGAAGTTTTAAATTCTCAGCAGTGCAAAATTCAACAATGGCAAATAAAAAAGTAACAGATGCCTGGCAGTGCTATTTCTTGATGATCAAGGGAACCAGCATACCTTTTATGAGGAGATAGAGGTGTAGTCAGTAAGCTGTTAGTGGGGAGGTTGTCCACAGTGGACCTGTCTGCTGGTTCTTATGACAAACTTGGAAGAGGAATCAATTGAAAATGAGGAAAAGTCTTAAACAAAAAAAGGTACTTTGTCACAGGGCCCATAATTGTGTGTGCCATTCTTGTCACAGGGTCTTGAGGCTCTCAGGAGTTCAGGAAGTTTTAATAAGTGATTCAATAAATTGATGAAAGAGAAAAGGTATAGCTTTTGGCTCTGGTGTCCTGCATTGCAACTTGATGAAAACAGAGATCAGCAGGGAAAGAGTCACCATGTACTTACCTTGGTCCATCTTTCCCTACTCAGTCCCTAAGAATGGAGACTTGCACTGCCCAGGGCTGTGTGGATCTTGACTGTGGTGTAAAGCAACACTTCTGCGTAGTTCTTAAATGTGTTCAATTCAAAAAGTGAAATAATTCTATGTGGTACGGACTAACTTCGAAGAGCATTGCAAGAGGATGACCTAAATTGCCTCCTGCTGAAAGAGGAGGATACTGCTGAGTATACTCAAGTTATGGCTTTTCATTTGATAAAGGTATGGATGAAATGGATACATGAACAGAAGCCATAAAAGTGGGTCAGGTCACTTCCCTTTAAAACAGGAAAGGAAAACAACGGGATATTTTGTAAAATTGCCAGAAGTTTGAGCTAGAAAGTATGTTGATCTTGCACAATGCACTGAGACATTTTCTTAAGATTTATGCAGCTATTTATTTTGCCATGCTGTAGTATGGCTTTCCTTTCTAGGATGCCCCAGGACCTGTTTCTCACCATAAAGGGCCACATGCAGCTGACAGCTCTTCTTGATATGGGGGATGCTACAAGAAAAGATTGTAAGATGTTCTGGACTATAACATGCTCTGCCTCTCTTTCTTTGAACCCCCATGTAGGAGTCGCTGTTCTTCCTCATTGACCAAGGTGTTTGAAGTATGTCCTTGCTAAGAAAATGTAACGATGTAACGTCTTGTGTGAACCATTACAGTGAAGGTCATTCAGCAGGTTGAGGTAGACCTTCTTGAGGTGGCACAGATAACAGTTAAGGTCCCATACTTTCCTGTTCAGTATAGGATTCAAGCTATGCTCATGGAATATGTGAGATGCTATTACTCAAGAAGTGTTTCTTGTGCTGTATGCTATCCTGGTCTGCCATCAGTTGTTGAGTTTGGTGTTTTTAAGGCTTTGGGCATTACGCCTCATATTTGATACTTGCTGATTTTGCCAATCTATGCAAAATCAGTTTCTAGGCATCATGACTGCCAGTATTTGTGATGGAGCATTACCCTATTTCTCATGCTATCAACTGTGGATAGCTATAGAACGTTTGTGTTTTGTAAATTCTGTAAATAAGCTTCTAGTTGTCATGGTAATAAAGTATGTATCAGAGCTTTTTTACTGAGTTGCTTGTCAATTTGGATATTATCTTCTCCTTTTTCCATTGTCTTTGTTTGGTACATTCTGTATTTTATTATTTTTTAGAAATAATCTGTTACTATATGTAAGATGTCTTTTTCCATTGCTATAAAAGAAAATGCAATCCTACTTTATTGGTTACATGCATTGTTTCTAACATGATAGCAGCTGGAGGTCAATTGTGTTGGAAAAAACACCAAAACTGTTTTTCAGGGAAGCTGTACTGGGTGCACACAGGGAATGTGGAAATAGAATTTCTTAATGTCATGGTTCATTGCATCTAACTATGTCTGTTGTCTAAGAGAATTTTTCAAGAGTACGCCTGAGGAGTATTCTTCAATAAACAGTGTTCATGTTTGTTTTGAAAAGGAACTTAAAACTGACCATATCTAAATCTCTATGAAAAGCTCTGTTTGAAAACACTCACTGTACAGGTAAGTGTTATAATCTATTAGACATTACTTGTTCTTTGTAATGCAGGATTACAGCTGGACAGACATCCGATGTCCCTTTGAAAAGCGCAGGGATGCAGCTTGTGTCTTCTGGGACAACGTAGTTTATATTTTGGGTGGTTCCCAGCTCTTCCCTATAAAGCGAATGGACTGCTACAATGTGGTGAAGGATAGCTGGTATTCCAAGCTAGGACCTCCAACACCTCGAGATAGCCTTGCAGCCTGTGCTGCTGAGGGCAAAATTTATACATCTGGTGGTTCAGAAGTGGGTAAGACACTAAAAATCTTTAAAACAAACAAAAAAGCACAAAGAAAGATTAGCTGGAAAATTTTCTGGTTTTTTGCATGATTTTGTTGACAAGAAACTGCACGTTGCCATGTTAGCCTAATGAGTTTATTTTCCCATATTTAGGATTTTATTCTCCTTTGCCCAGTCCAACAACCTATTTCTGTTGTGTTTTGAAAATGGTTTCACTGAAATGAATAGTATTTACATTAGTAAAAAGTTTATTGCAGCTCTTAAAGAGTTAAATAGGAACGAGATTGGATGGAGCTGTGAGCAACCTGATCTAGTAGGAAGGTGTCCCTGTCCATGGCAGAGGGATTGGAAATAGATGATTTTTAAGGTTCCTTCCAACCCACACCATTCTGTGATGATGTGATTCAATGAAATGTATTTTGGGAGTCCCACTCTTATCTTTCTTCTAGAAATCCACAGAATTCAGTGTAGTTTAAAATTTTCTGGAATGTGTGACCAGAATAGCTGCATTTTGACAATGGCCTTTCTTTTATACACCATATGTTGGGCCTAAGGAGGTCTTTTAAAAGAGGAGGGGGGGAAGTGGAAAAGAAATCTCTTGCAATTACTGCTTTTGATGGTGAAATTGTACTTAGTCCTGGTAAAGGAATTTATCCAATTTTTTTGTCAAATGACAGAAGTTATCTTCTGTTATTTTTTTAATCTGTTGGCTTGCTTCCACAAATGGAGAAATGATACCTTTAGTTCATTTCAGCATAGTAAAGAAAAAAAAAAGACCATTGGGATTTTTTTCTCTCTCCAAAAAGCCTAGAAAGTGACTTATGCTGTGGTGTTGCAGGAACATTTTATTTTGTCTAAACATGGCACATCATCAACAACCCAAAGGTTGAAATGCAGGCATGGTATAGCCATAAAAGTAGTTACAGTAATAAAGCTGTGTTCTGGGGAATAAAAACAAATGGGAAAAATCCTAGAAGGAAGATCTTTTTCAGGTCTGCCTTGCTGCAGAGGGAGGTGAACGTGGGAAAAAATTGTCATGATCAGTGCTTAACACTAATAAGTCACTTAATGGAGGTTGTAACATTTAGGCCATGTTTTCTGACCTCTAAAATATATTGAGGTCTAATGTAGCAGCAGAATAAGCAGTTCCCAGCTGCCACCTCGTGTGGTGAATGTGCAATAGCACCTTTCCTATTACTTGAAATAGGCTTAACTAAGGCCACATTGGGCAGCTTGGAACACTTCATCATCTCATAAATCTTCACAGTTTCCCATGTTTCAATTTATGGGGAATAACAGGAAAATTTTTTGATTGTACAGTATATTTTCTAATGCATGGTAAATAGTTAGTACAACTATAGTTGAAGTTTTAATGTAGCAGTTTTCTTTAGACTACACCCTCACATTACTGCACAGTTTCACTTTGCTTTCCATAAATATTTATCAAGACAGACTAGTAAAAACTAAACATAAATAATGGAGTTAAGTTTGCCTGTACTTTTTCTTCAGAATTTAGTGAATGCTGAAATTGGAAAGGTCTGTCTCTCCTGGATCTAGTATTTTTGAATTTGAGGCAGGCAATTATGTTGAAAGCATTAATCTGATAAAATGCTGCAGTGTGTTTAGCTCTAAAGATATCTAAAATTTTCATGGTTTTTTCCATCAATTGAAGAGGTTGGATTATTGTACCAGTCCATTACAGACAACATGGCTCTTTTCCCCTTCTTGAATTGATGGGAGTCCTGTTCTATTTGCAACAACTAGCAGAGTTTGGATGCTGAAATACCAGATTCTTCCACTCTTGTTTCAGTGCAGGAGAAATACTTAACATTATACTGGAAATTAATGCTTCTACCTGTTTTTAAAAAAAAAAGGTCTGATGGATTTTCCATGGATGGGAATTTCTACAACTTCAAAGCAATAAGAATGTCTATATACATCAAAGAAAACATTTATTTATGTTAAATAAAGAAAAAATGTCCCACTCTATTCAGTTTGTGGTGATACTGAGAGTGACAGGGTGGGAGTGAACAAATGCACACTTTATAGGAGTGTGTTTATAGGAATCATGTTGGGTCTGGAAATATAGCATCCTGTTAAAGGTTCAAATCCTCAGCTGGTAGTAAGTCCTGCATATGTGACATGGCTAATTTTTATAAGTAGAAAGCCAAGGTAAAACAGGCACAAGAAAGGCACTTTTAACTGTTCTAGGTAAATATATTATTTGAAACAAAGGGAAGAAGGATGTGGTTCTGTTCTGAGAAAGTTGTATTCAGCCTTCCCTGCCTTGGTTATGATTTGGTCACTTACCTGAACACAAGTTTTGAGCCTCTTCATTAGAAAAATTGCTTTTGATTTCAGTAATAGTTTCCTTGGCTTTTGAGGGAAGAGTACACAAACCCTGCACCTCCAGGCAATAAGTATCTACCAGTCCTCAGGAAGAAAGTAAATTGGGCAGAGGTAGCTGTTTTGTGGTTGCTGATAATTCCAGGAGTATGTTATGACATAAGCCATCAAATTCCAAAGGCAGCAAGTATTCTGGGTATTGGACAAGTCACACTGGTTAGAGGAAAAAGACTCATGAACCTATAGTGAGTTTACAAAGCTGGTTTCATCTTCACATCTGAAAGGTCAATATATTTCCAAGTAGAAAGAATAGCATGAGCTGATGACAATGGGATGGGTAATTTATATACATCTCTATTTAGTATTTATTCCCCTCCAAGAAAAAAAAAAACTTACCTTTTTTCATGCTGTTTTTAAGCACAAATAGCAGTTTTATGAACTTACTTGCATATTTTGGAACAAAAGAATCAAAATAATTGCAAGTATGTGCTTTCTGAATAATCCCAAGTTTAAAGCTGGTTAGTTCTACTTTTGGAGGTGGGAAAGCAGCTTTCCCTTTTCCACTAGCAAACAAAGCATCAATTTGATAATTGCTGTTAGACTCTTCTCTTGAAAGACAGCCATAAAGATTAATGCCACTTTGGTGGGTTTCTATTTTTTTAAGGCAATTCTGCACTGTATTTATTTGAATGCTATGACACGAGAACAGAGAGCTGGCACACAAAGCCCAGCATGCTGACTCAGCGCTGCAGCCATGGAATGGTGGAGGCCAATGGGCTCATTTATGTGTGCGGAGGCAGCCTGGGGAACAATGTTTCCGGAAGAGTCCTGAATTCCTGTGAAGTTTATGACCCAGCCACAGAAACGTAAGTGTTGTTTTGAGTCAGGTTGGCTTTAGTCACTTGTGTAAATGACTGAAGTATAAATGACTACAGGAAAAACTCTGGTAAGGAATTTTCCCTGAGTCAGCATTAAGAAATCTGTTCTTTGTAGTTCTACTTGAAAGATGTTTTTTCTTAAGCAGCTTTCTTCCATATTTTGTTTTCCTACTGATAGATTATACTTAGTTTTTATGAACCAGATGGTGATTTCTCCTTTTCTGTTTGATTTATTTTCCCCAGGTGGACTGAACTGTGTCCAATGATTGAAGCCAGAAAGAATCATGGGCTGGTGTTTGTAAAGGACAAAATATTTGCTGTGGGTGGACAAAATAGTTTAGGTACTTTCATTCTATTAATTCTCTATCTGGTCACACAAGGTTTCGTGGGGTTGTTTTTCTGGTTTGGAATGAATTTATTCCACTCTGTTCAGCTGCAAAGCTTTGAGCAGCACCATCAAACATGTCTTCTTGTTGCTTCTTGTTGTCACATCAGTGTTGCCTTCTTCTTTTCACCTCTCCACTTCATTGTTACCTTATTTTTTAAATTCTTGTACTCGTGATAGTCAAGTTCAGATATGCACCCCCTACTGTAGCCCAGTTCTGAAGCAGTTAATATGGCTAAACCAGGCATCTGAGAAAATACTTTGTTTGTTTGTTTTTTATTTTGGGGTTTTTTTTTAGTTATTCATGATTTTAGCATTCTTTTGAGAGACAGGTAAAGGTGTAGCCACTATTTTAGAACTTTAGTCTAAAGACTTAAATCTATTCTGGTATTGTAAAATGATGAAAATTGAGACCTCTTTTGACTGCTCTAGCTTTGGAATACAAACTTGCTGTCATGGCCTGGTCAATTATGATCTGCCTGTCTCCTTGTCTTTTAAAACTAGAGGAATAATACTTTACAAGAAGAATTGAATTTTAATTGCACAGGGTTTCTGAAATGCTTTTCAAAATGGAAAAATTCTTATTTATGAGGTTTTTGAACTCACTATTTACAGTAAGTGGAATTCTTGATTTCAGATAAATGCTGTTTTAGAATACAGCTTGATTTTTAATTGGCTACTGAAACTATTCTATCATGATTGATTCCCAAGCATTTTATCAATCCATAATCTGCCATCTTGCAAAATATAAGTGTATTCACTGAATGCTCCTCTTAGAAGTGTTAAAAATTGTTTTTACTGTAGTAAAATGAGGAAGAGTTGTGTCTGAGTTTAAAAACTCATATATGTTAATATGATAGATTTCTTAATCTGTCAGATCTAATAATTCAGTACTGGAAGTAAAAACTGAGTTAAATAGGGACAGCAACAATGTTTGTAGCTATTGTTTAGTGTAACTACTAGCATATTTCCTGAATAAGCAAATCTTAGTCACAAAATATACTCTAACTTTTTGTTCCTTTGGCCCTTTTCAAAGGAACTTAGGCTTTTACACTTCAATGATTTTAGTATCATCATGACAAGAGACCTCCTCTATCAGTAAATTGCCAGTTTTGGTAAAAGTACCCATGAGCCCTCTAGAATGAATGCCACTGCTGTAGGGAAGTTTCAGGTAATTCCTGAGTTTTAGTCACTAGCCCCAAATTCATCAGAAATTTAGCACTGAAGGTTTTTCTCTTCATGAAGTAACATGTTTGAATCTATAGAAACCATCTAGTGTGAATTTGTGAGAATACATCTTACTTTCTATCTCCTTTTCACTTTTCCCTGGTTTTGTATTTATACAAGGATAAGCTGCTAGTTTAGAAGCTGGGTTGTATTATCAGATTTGCTTTTTTAAGTGTAGGATTTTTGAAACCTTGAAAATAAAAACTTGAGTTTGCATGTTCTAGTGCAGTCCATACAGTGCAACATAATAAGCAGTTATCTATCTCATTGCTTTGTAGGTGGCCTTGATAATGTAGAATATTACGATATCAAGATGAATGAATGGAAGATGGTGTCTCCAATGCCGTGGAAAGGTGTAACAGTGAAGTGTGCTGCTGTGGGACCTATAGTCTATGTCCTGGCTGGTTTTCAGGGTGTTGGTCGCTTAGGGCACATTCTTGAATATAACACTGAAACAGACAAGTGGACAGCCAACTCCAAAGTCCGTGCTTTCCCAGTGACGAGTTGTTTAATCTGTGTTGTAGACACTTGTGGGGCAAATGAAGAAACTCTAGAGATCTGAAGACTGTAGGAGATGACAAAGCAGTCTTCAAGGACTTGGGAAAAGATGGTTTTGGTGCTTTGCTTCCATGTTTTACTGAATCGTGTTAAATTTAGTAACAGGAAGAAATTGAGATGCAGTCTTCTAATTTGTATATACGGCATATTGTATAATGTGGATTTTGTCATGCCCATTTTCTTGTCTGTTTTAAAGAGATGGGGATGTGTTTTGAGAATCCACTTACCTAGGTGATATCACATGGCATCTTCCTTTAAAAGAACTGTAGGTGTGGCCTTGTCAAACAGAGACCCAATCCAAATATTTAGAATGCCTCTAAAGCATTTGATAAAGAAAAAAACTCTGGTTAAATGACATTTTACCAAGACCAGTTGCAGAGACACTTCCTTTAATGAAGGCGAGTAAATACAGCTTGACTCATGAGAAAGAGGAACAACAATATTTTCTCCTTCATACCTACCTGCAGAATTCTTACTGGGATGAAATGAAGACATTTTCTCAGGAAAGACCAGGGACTGCTGTCTAATAAAGATTCCCAATGTTTCAACAGCTCTCTAGATCATGATAGCTGCCCTCTTCCAGTGAGTTTCTTCCATCATTTGCATGACTGCTTATCAATTTTTTAAGGTTAGAGAGGCCATACATAAAAATTAGAGAAACACTGGTCTCTTTGGCATTTTGTGGAGCCTTACAGAAAGACTTTTTGATTTTATTTTTTTTTAATTACACTGAGGTAGGGAATGGTGGGGCAAGTCGACGACAATTGTGCACTATAATTAGCAAGTTGGAAACTTGGAAAGAATTTTTAATCTATCTTCCCAGGCATCAGACTGTACATATTGTAGATGCCAATCCATTAGCAAACACGGGAACAGGAATGAGAAAAAGCAAAGTCAATACGACAGATATATTGATTTTCTTCTTGAAAATGACTGTTTTTAAAATGGCATGAACCAAGTAATTAAAGATACTTTACAGAAGTCTTCAGAAGTTGCGCATGGTTATTCATCTCTGGTTTAGAAGCGCAGAGTTCTGTAAATGCTTCCAGCCTACATGATGGTAAATTTCTTCACGCAGCCTCAAAGTCCAGCCTCTCAAGCTTTGGGTGTCATCGATATTGTGTGCTTCTTCCCAGTTCTGGAAAACTATACAAATGACATCTGTCCTGCTCCTGTGCTAGTTTATTCATAGCTGCATTGTAGTTTTGTCACCTCTCTTCCAACTTGCTGATTTTTTCAGGTCTGTTTCTATGAGACTAGTGAGTTAACTTCAAAATTTGGTGCTTGCCTGCCTCTACCTCGCTTGTGCTGTGGATGTTTATTCTGTTTTAGTTCTGAAGTTCCTCCAGCTTCTCCTAAGTAAATCCTGGTTTTTCAAAGTCAGTACTTCTTTGTAGACTTGATCCTCGTTTCCTTCCTCATCCTGACAACTCTACCTGTACAGACAGGACTAGATGCACTCACGGCCTCCATTGTGGTTCCCTTCTTTATTCAGCAGTAAGTGAAGGGCGTGCGACTTTTTTTGTTTTCCCTTGCCTTTTCACTTCTCCTGGCCACGAAACGTATTCCTGGTGTCTCCACTCCTTGATTCCGAGCGACTGGAATTCTGGAGGGAACTGTGTGCTCTTTAGACTGGACAGGCTCTTTTATCTGTTTTGCACCCGCTTTTAAACTCCTGGCCCCTGTTGTCGCCAGGGGTGAACAGTCCCCGGCAGCCTGGGCGGCGGCAGCGCGGGGCGGGCGCGCTCCTCCTTCGGCTCTGCGGGGCTCCGGCCGCCTCGGGCCCGGCGCCGGGAGGGGCATCCCCGCTCTGCGGGCACCCGCACCCCCGGCGCTCCGTGCCCGAGCGCGGCGGGACGGGCGGGACGCGGGCGGCTCCCGCACTGCCCCGGTGCTCGCCCCGGTGCCCGCCCCGTGCGGCCGCTGCCGGCGGGAGCCCCGGAGCAGAGCGGGCCGGGCGGGTCTCGGCTGGGGCTGTCGGCAGCAGCCTCTGCTTCGGCCCTCGCAGGATTGTGCTCTAAAGGACTGCGGGATGGGCCGTGGGAAAGCAGCCCGGGCATCTCCGCTGCCAGGAGTGGCTGCAGCAGCTGCGCGCTATTTCCATTCTCACCGGCTTCGGTGTGGGGCAGCTTTGGAAGGCGAGGGACTAAACGAAGAGCCGAAGGCAGCGGTTGCCTGTCTTTATTCCTGCTCAAAGAGCCGCGTTTGCCAATTCATTTGGGGCGTTTACACCTCTGGAGTTTTGTAATGAATCCTTCGTGTCTCCCACTGTAACTGTTTCAGGACAAGACAGTGTACCAAGGCCCCTGTCTTTGTAACTCTGGAGGGTGGTTAGAAGTGTTAATCTGTTTTCTTGGAAGTTTTTGATTTTTCCTGTCCTTGCAGGCTTTTCAGATGTCTTCTTTCAGAAGAACTGCACCTGGAGTACTATGACAGCAAACTATAATTGGGAAATGTGTAAGCAGCTTAAAAATTATGAATCATGGGGACAGTCTTTGGGATAAGACTTGTTACCAATCTAGAGGTGACAACTCTTGACTTATCTCCCAACTCTAGGAGATGATCAGAATACCAAAACATCCTTCAATTCCTGTGCACCAAAGAGAATGCCAAAATAGCAGCTGGTCCATATGGTCTACCCTACCATCATCTTCTTGCCTGAGATCTCTGGCTCAGAATGTCAGATCTGATATTGCTCTTTATGTAGAGACATAAAAATTTGATATAAGGGCAACAGTAAGAGTATTTAAAGGAATCTTGTATTAATAACAAAAAATAAATCTTTTCCCGTTGAAATGGAAGGAAAGAAAAATTCCTCTGTTGGATTAGTGAAGTTTCTTTTCTGATTCTAAATATCTTTGTTTGTTGACAGACCACTTATTTTTCTTTTTTTTTTTAAGTCTTCCCCAATAATAAAAATATGCACTTTTTCCCACTCTTTTCAAATAGATGCTGTTGAACTGTTAGCAGAACAGTGGGAAAATTGGCTGATTCAGTGGAAAGCATTAAATGCAGTTGCAAAAGCAGCTTTTGGTAGGTGTTCACAAATGGCAACATATCTGTGCTTGATGTTATTTTTTAATGAAGTAATTTACACAGATGTTTATTATGGCTAAAAAGATTTCTGAGATGTGGCAATTGTGATGTGCAACCTGGCCTGTTCTCTGGACTCCTGAAATCAGTGAATTCCAGGTGCTATTATAAACTCCTTCAGTTAACTGAGGAAAAACGTGCATAGGGATGGTTCCATGGTAGCAAGGCAGCAGCTGGATCCCAGCTTTGGAATACTCTCATTGCAAGCCACATGAAAACAACCAGAGCTCAAGTTTGGCATCTGGCTGTGTACATGACCAGGAAGAGGCCAATCCCCACCACACCTTTTTTTCCCATGTGCTGATGTTGACTCTTCCAAGAGAGGATCAGCAGAGTGGACCAGAATTCCCCTCCAGGACACCTTAGGATAAATGGAGCATTTGGCCAATGTCAGAATTGAGGGATAGGTGGGAGAGAAGCCTTTGCATACCATGTGAAGACAGAAGGACTCATTGGTCCTGGCAAGGTGACAAACACTTGTGAATGGACATGGGTTTGCAGAAGCAAATGCCCGAGCTCAAGCTCGTATGAAATAATCAGGGAGGCAGAGGAAGTGGCTCTCTTTGAGTGCAGGCTGCATGAAGTGCAGGGAAGGTTGAGTGATGTGGTCCCAGCCCTTGGTCTGTTCAGTGCTGAAGGTGGACAAGCAGGATTTGGGCTTTACCACAGGAGACAGTGACAGACACAGATGTGCTGAGGACAGGGAACAGAGTGAGTCAAAGCTGTGCCCTAAATACAGACCTGGAGCACAACCTGGAACTGTAGGAGGTGGGAATGAGAACTCCCAGAGAGGACCAGGTCGTGGACTGACAGGCAAAAATTGATCAGTTGTTACAGATTTACATTTCTGGAGGGTTTTACAGAGAAGAGCAGGTATGGCCTTAGAGCACTTAAAGCACTGCAAGAACAGGCAGTTGTGAGGAGTGATCACTGTCCAGCTTGGTTGGAGTAGGGTTCAGTAGGACTGGGCAGCTCTGGTTTTGTTTCAACTAGCTACTGAGAGAGAGTTCCCTGTTTTGGAATCTAGTTTTCATGTATGTCTCTGGAATTTTTTCAGCTCTCTGCTTTCAAGGCCACAGGCACTCAAGCAGCACCTGCCTTTGGAATGGGAGGACAGCAAACCTCAGGCTTTGGGCTGTCAAGTAAGTTCCCATGCTAAGAGCCAAAACATTTACACATTTTTTGTCGTTTGCTGCTGCATCTTTGAAGTACAACACTGGTTTAGTATCCCTGGGGTACCAATTCTAATATTTTTTGTCAATTCTCTACTTGCAGGCTTTCCTGTGAGCAGCAGCAGCAGTACCAGTGCCAGCAATTTCTCCTTTAAAGCCAGTTCCAGCCTCATCAGTTCAGCATCATCTGGGAGCAGCCCTGCTGCTGGGAGCTCTTCTGCTGCTGCAAATCCTCCTGCATTTGGGACAGCATCCTCTCCCAGCACACCCCAATCCGTCGGCTTTGGCAGCCCGGCCGCTCCATCCGCAGCCTCCTTCTCCTTTAAAGCAGCTGCCCCGGCTGGTGCCTTTGGGACTTCTGGCTTCTCAGGCTTTGGCAGTGCTTCTGCTGGGAGCTCTGCAGGCACCACTCCAGCAGCCTTTGGAGCCTTTGGTGCCACCACAGCCCCTTCTGGCTCGGCCTCGAGCGCTGCTTTATTTGGGCAGAGCAGCAGTACCTCTGCACATCCTGTCACCTCAGCGTCTGCTGCAGCCACCAACTCCAGCCCTGCCTCAGACAAGTTATTCACTCCCAAGAGCGAACTGTCAGCTGAAGAGTGGCAACAGTTTGAAGCCAAGGAGTTCACAATTGGAAAGATTCCTCTGAAGCCACCACCAGTAGAACTTTTAAATGCTTTCGACCTTTTAAGTTTATTCTGAAATGTTGTTACTTTTTATTTCCTTTCTCAGTTCTCTTCTGCAGAAACAAATGCATAAGTAAAAACTTTTGAACATTATTTTGCGATGGACTTCTTACATCTGAAAGATGAACTGTTGAAACTAAAATAGAACATTTCCTTCTATATGCTGTCCTGTGTAATTCTGTACAAAGACTATATGAAAAATATGGTGTCAAAAGAAAGAATGTTTCAGTCAAATATTTAAAACCTACTCTTGTATCAATGTTTATCTCCAAATGTACAGTCCGTAGGACTGGCCACAAATGCTTTTTTCCCCATTGCCCCAACAATTGGTATTGTAAATTTTTTGGTGAGCCCTTACTGATAGTTATTACTGAATGTGTGCCTTTGCTGTCTATCTAGAATCTGTTGTTTTATTCCCCAACTTTACTGAAACTAGATGATCTGTGAGTTATGCCTCTATAATTTCCTCCAGTCCCCTTCACTAATTATCAAAATCCTCCAGCATCCTAATGTTTACATCTTTAAGTTGACCCTTCCTGTCCACAAAAGGCACATGGATTCAGGTCAAAAGGAGGGGCCATTTCAGAGCCCACAACCCCTGCCTATCCTTTTGCCTTCTCTAACACCATTCTCCTCTCATCCACATTAAAATGGGTTCAATATAGCCTACATATCCCACCAATTAGGGCTATGAGTCAGCATGATAGTTTCCAAAAGCTGATACATTCCTTCAGGATTCTCTCATTATGAACCAACAGATCATTTCCAATTCAAAAAATCAAAAGTAGTACAAGGAACATGTCCAGAAAAAAATGGCTGATGCTCTGACCCCACTGCTTGTCTGTGCTCTCTATTTTGAGCTGTATCCTCTTTATCCATCTCCACCCTGCTGTTTTAGGGGTGTGGAATGAAGGGAACTAACATTTGCACATAAAACCTCATCCCCTTTTCCAACATCCACTGTAAAATAATATTAATCTGCAATGACACATTTTGCCCATACTCCAGTTTATAAAGTAGCCACTTGTGATAT